CGGAGTGGGTGCGGAGCGCCCGCTGCCTGCGGGTGTCTCGGTAGCGTAGCGGTGGGAGGCGGGGGCTGAGATGGGAGTTAATCCCTTGTTCCGTCTCAGCCGTGCCCTGTATCGCGCTTGTGACCTTGGCCCTTGTTTAGAGGTGAAGCGGTGAAACTTCAGCTTTAGTAGCAGCAAGGGGAACGCTTCTTACAAACTGGTGTAGCACTTAGTACCCTCGATCGGTTTCCGTAAGGCTTTAAGGTTTGGTTGGTAACTTTTTGGTTTGCCATGAGCACTGAATAGAAATTTTGTGATAAAGCAAGCTTCCTTAAACTGTAAAGTGGTGGTGTAACTCAGGGTTTAAGTACTGCTGATAAGATAGTTACACCCTGGAATACAGTAACCTTTGTAGATATAAAATGGCTGCCACTAAAGAGGGACAGCCATTTTAATTAATATATAACCGTAACAAGCGTTACATTCTTTACAAGTCGTATCCAGTGAATCATTAGCTGTATTTTTCACTAGTTACGTAGAATGTTTTTAATAGCAGCTTGCTGCGTGCGCTGCTGGGACGTGTGTAGCTCTGTGCAGATAGTTTGGTCATGTGATACAGTCAAGATCTTGAAGTGGCTGCTTTGTGCCTTGAAGGTATTTTCCTCACACACACACTGTTGGAGGAAAGCAGTAAAACTTAACCTCCATAGAACTGCAGAAGAAAACTATTCAATTTGTACTGATCTAGAAGGCAAATGGTTATTTTGCATCGTAGGTGCAATAGGCTGCATTTAAAATAGATTGAAGATAAAATACCTTGAAAATTCTGTTTGGAGGAAAAAAAAAGTATTAACTCGCGTCCTTTTCACACGAGGTGTGTGCTTAGCTAGCAAGCGAAGGGTATGGAACTTAAAACCCACACAAACAAACCTCCCTTCAGAATCCCACACAGAGCTGCTCATGGTTGAAACTGAAGCCTTTTTTATTTCGTATAAAAGACTGACTACAGGAGAGGAAATGAAACTCCAAATTGTCATGTGCAAAACATGCTGATAAACTGGATGAGAATTGCTGGTGTGTTTAATTATCCTTGAACTTTTAGCCTGTGTGTCACAATGTTAATTGTTGCTGTATAAACGACTCGATGTGTATAAATGATTAGTTTCCCCTTCCCCACCCACCACAGGAACAGAGACTGGGTATTGCAGAACAACAATAAAAACGGAACCAGCTTCTGAAAGTACCTGCATGGAGAAAATGGTGGTTAGGAAAACTGATGATATGACAGGCTTCATGGATGACTTAACCCTCAGCTCACCCAAGAAAAGAGAGTCGTCTTTGCGATCCCAGAGAAGTTGTGATAGGTCATCAACAAGGTCATCTAGCAGATCCTCTAGCAGTTCACGGTCCAGTTCAAGTAGTTCCTCCTCAGCTTCTTCCAGGAGTTGCAGCCGATCCAGGTCCAGATCCAGGTCATGGGCTAGAAGAAACGGGTCCCGACGGTACAGAAGATACTCTCGTTCGTATTCCAGAAGCCGGTCGAGATCGCGTGGCTACGTGAGGTACCGAGGACGGTACCACGCCAGGCACTACAGGAGGTACCACCGCTCTCCTCCGAGGTACAGGTCCCGCAGTAGGTCGTGGTCTCGTGGAAGATCGTATTACAGAAGGTCCTATTCGAGAAGCAGATCGCGTTCAAGAGGCCGAAGATATTACGGATTTGGGCGAACAATATATCCTGAGGCTTACAGGAGCTGGAGAAGCAGGTCACGAACAAGGTCTCGGAGTAGGTCACCTCTCCATTTGAGTGAAAAAGGTACTTTTAATGAGACACTCATTGTGTGAGAACCTCAAAACATATCTTTTATATTTATTTTAACCACTCAAATTCTCATCTGTTTACTTGCTTTATAGAGCATAACCGATAATGGCAATGTGGAAGAAAAATCTCTTGTTACAAAAATGTTTAAAAAAAAAAAAAAGTGTAGTAGTTCAGTACGTATTCTTATACGCCCTTCAGCTGAAGCTAACTCTTCCAAGTTCTGAGGAAAACTCATCGCAGCTGATGCTTGCGTACATGGGGTGATAGCAAACCTGCAGGTTTTAGGCTTGCGTGAGTAGGTACGTGTTGACTGAAACATGAGAGTGACGCTTCTTTTCCTGTTACAGACAAGAGGGAGCTACTGGAAATCGCTAAAGCTAATGCTGCAAAAGCTTTGGGAACAGATAACATAGTCTTGCCAGCAAGCTTGAAGGTCCTCACTCCTTCCAAAGAGATAAAAAATGAAAAACAAGAGCATGAAGACCCTGGAGAGTCAGCTGAGGTAAGTATGGACTGGAGTGTTCTCAGTGAAAAGGTAAACGCTCTTAAAACTTGTCGTCTGCATGGATGTGTTCTAGATTTTAACTGTGGAGTTTGCGATTATGAATTCAAACCCTTGAACAAAAACTTCAGATTTACCAGAATGCTAAAATCTGCTCTAGAAACGGCTGTAGCTTCGTGCGAAGCTGAAAGCGCGGTGGACGCTGACGAGGCGTTGATCCCCTGCGTGCACGCAGGTGTCCCCTAGCAATCGGCCGGGAAGCAGAGGTGGATGTAGTCTGTTCTTGCCCGTTTCTTAGACGAGTTTATGTGTTTCTGACCTAAACCAAGGAGTCTCCTAGTGAATAGTGTGGTTTTTTAAAAGGTTAAATCTTTCTACCCTTTTTAACTGTTGAAAGCTTTTCATGTGCGACAAACTTGTTTCCCAGAAATTACATACCCAAGCACACAATGCATTTTACATACTTTATTTCTGTCTTATAGAAATCATGACTATGGTTCCAGACATGATGAAGAAAATCTGTTGGTAATTAAGGGACTTGTGGGCTGTAGCTGCTGTGCATTTAAGGGAGGGAGAGACTCGAGCAGCTTAAACTGAATTTGAATTTTAGTTTGGCTCTGTTGTTACGGTGCGTTAACCTGATGCGTGGTAAATTATAAACTGCGATGACTCTTACATCGCTCCATACTGCTATTTCAAAGGGAAGTAAATTTACTGAGGGTTTTAGACAAATGGTACAGGCATCCCTTTCATAATGTATGCAATATATTCCAGATGTTGAGAGAGTACAGAAGAAGAGGCCTGCATCACTTGCAGATAAGTTAACTGTTGTTATCCAAAGCTCTGCAGGACAGAGACGCAGAGCTTAATGCGACTTACTCTACCGCTACACTTTGTTGTATGGCAGCCCATGCTCCAAATCCTTAAAACTGTAACTGGGGCGTGGCTGTCAGGTCACACGTGAATTGGCATCGATAAAAACATGGAATGTTCTTCAAATTGAGTTCAACATTGATCTGTTGGCGTATTTAGTAGCTTACAGCTACTTTTGATGTAAATATCTGAAAGAACTCTACCGAAAGTTTATGCTCTGTAGTGACTGCCTTGACGTGCGCGGAATAACGCCTCCGCCCGCTGACGCTGTGCGTGCTCTTCTCTAGCAACCCAAAAGCCTCGGGGAGGACAGGCCCAAGAGCGCAATGGAGAGAGCGACCGCGCAGAGGAGCATTTCTTTCAGCCCTAACGTAAGTGCCGCTTCCCCAGGTGGACGCCCAGTCCTTCCTCCCTGCTGCGCTGGGCCCTCCCCAGCCCCGGCTGCCAGGTGGAAGGTCTTGCTCACAGTAACGAGTTGAATTTCATGGTTTGATGATTGCTTCCCCGGAGGAGTCAGCTCAGCAGCAGAGCCCTGTCAGCCCTACAGCAGCGTGTTTGCCTTTCGGTGCTCGGTAACGTTGAATGCCTGCCCTGCAGCGCAGGCTCAGAAGGGGGTGCCAGGACTGGTTTATGCCAGCACTGGTTTACACCAGAACTCATTTCAAGTTACGTGTTTGGATGTGGTTTAATAACGCAGAACTAAGGAAAAAGGAACTTCCCTGAATCCTGTGGCAGGGAAGGGTACGTGCGTAGTTGATGCTGAGTAGGCATCGGGTCTGCTGGGAGCTGGGAAGAAAGCACTTGTCTTACCGGCACAGATGAACCCCTGGACCTTGACGCGTCTTAGCGCATTCCTTCTCGTTCTAGCGTTTTAAAAGGAAATTTCTTTTTCCAGAATACAATGGCAAAGCCAGTTCTACAGAAGCCAGCGAGCCATGTTGTTAAAGAACCGGCAATTTCTCCGGGCCGAGAAGAGGACAGGAAGGGAAGTCCCTATGGGCAGTGGGTTCCCGTCAAGAAGGAGGAGAAGAAAACATTTTTAAACTTCTCACCCCGAAGTGCGCTGTTCCGGGCACGCTAGCACGTTCTTCTCGCTGCCTCTGACTGCAGCATTGCGCATACGTCAGTAGCGAGATGTGAAATTTTCTGATCAGGTTGAAGGCTTGTTAATACTCAGTATTTATTCGGAGATGTTAATTTTGGAATCTTAGGTTTCTCTTTCAGATCTAGAGCACAGTGATCCAGAAGCCACAGGTGGGAATCTTGTGTATATTTGTAAATATTTTTGTATTGCTTTAATGGACTAGAACTTACAGGTGGGTAACTTTTTTCTAACAACAGTTCGGTGGTTGTTATTTTGAACATTGATTTACATTGTGTAACTGTTTACTTCAAGTAAATAAACTTTAGTTTTGCACTGGCTTCTCCGTGCGTCAGGCGTTGGCAGCTTGAGGTGACTGGCTGGGGTCACCCCGGCGGGGGCACCGTCTGTCACGGAAGGGCCGCGCGCGTTCCTCGCGCCTTCTGCCGTCTCCCCGCTCGCCGAGCGCGCTCGGGGACGTTGCCAAAGACGAGCTTTACTCCAAATTGAGTGGAAAGAGTTGGTGTTTATTCAGAACACGAAATGGCACGAGCTGGTTATTCCGCAAGTAAAGCGATGTACAGCTGAGGCCGTTAGGCAGATTACTTGTGTTACACTCACTATACTATGGGCTTTACGGACTGCTTAACGAGGGCTACGGGGCGTCTGTCTGATACAACCTTAAATTGCCCACAGCACCCCGCTTCCAGACGCAGGCTGTCGCGCTGCCGTGGGGGCGAGGGTCAGACGGCCGTTCCCCTCTCCAGGTTCTGTTTGATCTCGGCCGTGTACTTCCCGTAGAACCTCTCCGCCTTCTTGTTGAACTTGGCGTTTCGCTCGTTAATGTAGTCGATGTCCGCGTCGTCGTTGTACGGCCGCCTCCGGCTGTACTTCTCGCGCTTCTCAATTCTGTCGGACAAAGAGAGCGGTGGCAGACCGGGGCCGAGGCCCGTGGGCGCGATCGCGCAGAGCTGCTGTCGCGGGCCCTGCCGCGTCGCGAGCTGTACTCACTGTTTCTCGAGATCGGCAACCATTCGGTCCACCCCTTCCCTGGACGGCACGTGCGTCCCGTGGAGCAGGCTGTCGGAGGTGGGGTAGAGCGCCTCGCCGCTGGAGGGGAGCAACAGAGGGCGGGTCAGGCGAGAACACGGCGGTGCCGCACCAAGCCGTTAATTAATTTCAGGCGCGCGCGCACGCCTACGAAGAATGGGGGAACCCCGCGCTGGAATTCACATCTGTCTGAAGGCGAATGCAGCAGGTCCTCAGCTGCGGGGCAGCCCGTCCCTGACCCGCGCCGCCTCGGAGGAACCGGAGTCGTATGCATGCAAGTAAACATAAGCGAATGGACAAAATATTTCCCGATATTAAATATAAGCTCATTGACAAAATATTTCTTCAAAGCCGGCAAGGGCAAGTTTGAAGAACTGACCCCGACCAGTGCCACCAGTGCCGCTCCCAGCGAAGCGGGTCACCAGGCCCCGCGTTTTAAGATCGCGTCAAAAGGCCCGTTGATATCGCAGCGCACGCGGGGATGTGCGCGCGCTGACGGGCTGAGTTTAAGTCTTCAGCGCTCGCCGATAACGGAGAAACGCCCCAGACTGAAATCGCGACTTACTACTGCTCCTTCAGCTTCTCGTACTGCTCCAGGTCCGGTTTGATCTGCCGCGTTAAGCGCTGGTACTGGCGCAGCTGAGCGGCCGCGTAATCTTGGGGAGAAAAGGAACCGGTGTCAAGGGGAAGGACTTGACTTCGCGGTGCAGTCTGCAGCTGAAATACTAACAAAGGCGCTCGTTACCTGAAAATCCGAGATCTGGGTTTTTCCGCTTCTTTTTCCTTTCCCATCTCTCGGCGTCCTCCGCGCTGATCTCCAGCAGCTTAACTCGCTCGTAGTCTTCTCCTCTGGCTGCGCATTCCTAACGCAGCCCAAAGAACACTTTGTTTCAACAACAACCGTCAAACTCGGAACGACCCGGGTCAGTCCAGCCAGCCCCCAGCGCAGGCGATAATTCAGATCACCGGGAGTTGCTGGGGGCGACGCCTGTCCGAGCTGCCCAGGCGCCGGGGGGGCTCGGCAGGGCCACGGGCAGCTCCACTTGTGTCCTTACCTTCTTTTTCTCCTCCACCTTCAGCTCCCACTCCAGCCGCGCTTTCTTGGCTTCCCAGTTCGCTGGCAGTTTAAGTCTTTTATCTTCTTCCACCACTTCTTGATGATTCAGCTTGCGAGCCTCGTTCTGGGAAGGAAAGGGTTCGTGACCGAGCTGCGGGGCAGGGCGCCGGGTGAAACGCTGCGTTTGGCGAAGGGCTGAAGGAACCCTCGCCCGGGCGGGGAGCGGGCGGCCCAGCCTCCCCGCGGCCCCTCCGCTTTGCTTCCCCGCGCATCAGCGGCAGCGCGGGCAGGAACCGGCCCCGGCCCCGCTCCGGCTCGGCCGCCGCCGCGTACCCGCTTCATGTGGAGCTCGCGGAACTTGCGCAGCCGCTCCTCCCCCTTCTGCGCCGCCGCCGCCGCCCCCCCCCC